GACTGCCTTGCGTGCATGTGCTTCCTCGAGACCTAGCATGGCCTCGGTGAGTTAGATGGTCTTGCCAAATGTTAGCCGACGTTTATATCTGTAGGAGAGCCAAGTGGCACATACCCAATATGGCTTGTCATACCATGTACACCAGTAAAGCTTCGACTCACACATCCTCTTCAAAGTATACCGAGCTCTTTCGAGCCCTGTCAAGGTTAGAGTCTGTTGGTGGGTCAAAGGTCAAGTACTCAAAAACCCACCACTTCCAAGTTCTATCCGCCTCCTCATAGCTTCTCAGCACATCTCTCGACTATCAATCAATCTCTTCTCTTGCTCCGTAGCGTTCCTCTTTACTGTTTCTTTCTCAATCTCTTCTTCATACTTCTTCTTCATATTCGTCTTTCTCTCACCAAGTTTTCTTCTTGCCTCATCTCTCTGATTTTCCAACCTGTGAATCTCCTTCGCATTTTGATCCTTGGCCTCATTTGCTTTCCGATAAGCCTCTACGGCTTCATCATTCTCATCATGAAGTCCCCTCAATAGCTCGTTCTCCTTGTCGATCTCCTTTTGCTTCTTCGAGGTTTCTGCAGTGCACTCATTTTCAAGCTTGTCTAGCTCCTTCTTCATTGCTTTCAGTGCAGCTTCCATTTGGGCGAGCCTTTTAGTCAAGTCATTTCTTGCATCATCGATCACCCTGTCAGCTAGCTTATGCAGAGTGTCAATACCGTCCATGATGCCTTGCAAAATAACATTCAAGATGTCAGTCTCCAAAATCGCCTCGAAGCTCATCTCGGCTTCCTCAAGCGATTTGTGTTTCTTGACCACAACATCAGCTTTGAGGCTCAACAGTAAGCTCTCGGTCAGCTTGAGCTTGACATCCAGTTTCAGGCACTTCTGTTGGATATCAAGGTCAACAAACACACATGATCTCGAGACTGTAGTATTTGATCCTTCCGTCAATGAACAGCTTCTGCCTGTCCTTGGTCATCTCGAGACCTCCGACCTTGAAGTTGTCGATCCCGGCTTTAATCACAACACCACTTTCACCAAACCTACCGTCGAACGCCCCTTTCTTGCCGAAGCACCACATCTTACCTTACACCTGAATACTGCGGTCATAATAGCGACCCAAGAACTCAACTCCAGATAAGACATACGGTTTGAGGTCCTTGAAGACCACCTTGCCCTCCGTTCCGTTCATCTGCTGCATGGCTTGGTTATCGTGTGACGGGTTAGTTCCTAACTGTGGATAAACTAAGCCGTGCTAGGTTTNNAGTTTTATTAATAGCTAGTGAGCTAGAATCTATGAAAGTGTTAATGAATGTAGTCTATATACTGAATGTAGTTCTATAGGAATGATATGATGTGAGGTTATTGTTGGTCCTGGAATGACGCGGTCCTGGAACGCTGTCGGTCCTGTAAGTGTCGGTCCTTTCCTGGTTGGTGGGTTAAGTGGGGAAAATTATGGGGTACACGTGACGTAACCGCTGGGATCGTAACATGTTATTGCAGCCAGCTGCAGAGACCTTTTCGTCGGGGCCGGGTTCAACACCGTCTCTCGAGACCTCCTTTTCGCGGCCTCTGCTGACAAGGCTCAAGAATCAGCTGTCTTTTGAGCCCTTGGAAAAGCCCCTGTATTGGCCACCTGATGAGACGGGTTATTCCGATCGGTTGTCTCCGCAGACCTCTATTTTGCCGTTTGATCCGACGGATCGGAGGGACCTGGGGAAAGCTCTTTTTCCCCCTGTATACCCCAGACCTGTTAGTCTATATAATAGGAGGTCTGACAGGCTGATCTTCAGGCCAATGGATAAACCTTAGGTAAACCCATACTATATAATAGTCTAGACGCACCTTCCTTAGCTAGGCATCAGGAATAGCAAACCCCCGAATCGCCGACGCCCTATGGAGTATTTAATCTGCCAAGGCTTGAAGCTAACTCAATATGTCCTAAACGCGATTTATGCAGTGAATCTCTTGCCTTTTTCATCCGGCAGTCAAACGATTACCCCAGCGACTAGTAAGTCAGCCTCTTTTATCCTTTCACCTTAGTTAGAAGTTACTTAAGCTTTAGAAGAACTGTAAATACTGTTAGAAGAATACTAAAGCCTATAAGGCTGTTTAAATAGTTAATCTTCTTATAAAAGAGATCTGTAAATTAAACCTTAAGAAGTATTATCTATTTAATAATTTCTATTTAAAACAAAAGTTATATAGTTACTATCTTTAATATAAAATTAACCTTTAAACTAACTTAATATTTAATTAAATTTAAAGCTATTATCACAGCTCAAGACCAGACCTGCTTACCCTGTACCTGAAAGTGGTTGAGATCACGTGGCGATAGCGTTATCGCCGTAGCTTTAGTTC